TGTGGCCCTCACGATGTATGGAGTGTGACTGTCCTCAGTTACATGTGTGGCTTCTTGAAGCATCATCAGCACCAGTGCTCAATCCGTCAGTGTTTAGTCAATATTTTCATCAGGTGTAAGTGTTGCAAAGAAGGATGTGACTTACCTAAAAAGCTTTGAGCAGGGCTGATGGTTGTGGATTTCTGTAATTAGAAAGAGGAAATGTGTCTCAGTTAATCATGCAAGACAAAAAACCAAAGCCTACCCCGTTACCATTGAGTGAGTTCTGCCTAGCGACCCCATGCTGCAGAGTATAGCTGCCCCTGCAGTTACGTACAGCTGAAATCTTCACCAACAATAGACCGCTACATCTTTCGCCTCTGGAGTGCCGGGTAGGTTTGTTGTGTTGACTTTTTGTTTAGCAGCTGAGCACTTAATTGCAAAATAGCTCAGGATTTCCTTCTTTACTACAATCTCAGATACCCAAGAGCGGTCCTCTGTGAAACAGGTGTTGTGTGTGTGCAAATGGAGACAGTGTCCCGGTATCTTCTTAAAACGAGGAGGCGTCAAATGTTCAAGGAAAGATTCCAGTTTCCTCATTTATGAATGGAGATGGTGTCACAGCGTGTCCTAATATTTACACCCAGGGACACAGTCTCAGAACAGTGTGGTAGGACACAGGTCCATTCCAGTTCCACGTGTCCACGTGTGATAGGCACACACCTGTAAGCGCTCACTCACGAGCAAGCTGCTGCTGTGTGCCTTGATTCAGTGTGACCTATGTCAGGAAGGAATCACCAACTAGAGCTGTCACTCAACCTGGATACAGGCTACGAAGGTGGCTTGAGGAGAGGTCCGTAAGTGCCCTACCATCAACAACCAATGACTGACCACTTGGGCCTCGGGTGTTAAAGGACAAGAAGTGGGAGGTCAGGAGTACATGCACCCTTTCTAAGCTGGTCAGTACCAGGGGAAACAGTCACGTGTGAGGCAGTCCTGATGATGCCTGATGGCCGCTGGGATCGGTCAGAGGGGCACTCTCTCTGAGGGGCTGGACTGCTTTGTAAAACCATGACACTGCCAGACCACCACAGTCTCCTGGAAGCCTTGGCCTCAGAGGTCCAGGCGGCCCTTGTAACTCAGAGTGAGTCCACAGCCCTGAGGGACCCCAAGCTCGACGAGAAACATCTGTACTTGTGTGAGTGTGCTCAAGACACGTGCAAATACAACACCCCGCAGGAAAGGCAAGTTTGTTTGTCTGTACGTGTCTGGTGACACAGGGAGATGATAAATAGGCTCACGGAGACATTTTCCTTCTTTGATCACCAAAACAAGGGACTCCCGAGCCGGCGGTACAGCGTACACCCGAGGGGACTGCTAGTAACTAAGAAGTGGAACATCGGGAAGAAAACCTCGTCTCGTACTTTCAGTAACACCCACTGCTGTTCAGTCCGTTCCGACTCCTAGCAACCTAACAGGACACAGCCGAAGTCCCGAGGCGATAGATCTTTATGGAAGCAGCCTGCCCATCTTTCTCCCACGGAGTGGCGAGGGGCTCACACCGCCAACCTTTTGATTAGCATTCTGATGCTTATCCCGCTGCACTACCAGGGAACCTTGCTATAACTAAGGAAGGGAGCTGGTATGGCACTGTATGAGACGCCCTGGTCTGGTAACTGTAAAATCAGCGGCTGGCACCTGTACTCCACGTCACACAACAACAACATGTTGATGAAGACACTCCCTGGCACCCATCAGCCCCAGCGGCCTCAGCACTGACAACCTGGCTTAGAAGCACACAAGGGATGCTCTAGGTATCACGTGGTCTTTTCTTTAGGAAGTGAAATCTTTCTCTTAGAACACTGTTAGCAATCCCAAAGCACTTCTTGGAGAAACAAGGTGAGGGGCCCAACCATGAGAAAGCTCAGCCTGTAATGAAGTTGGTGCACCCACTGCCTGCCTCACCCAGGATGTCCAGAGCCCCGACACCTCGCCAGCTCATCCTTAGTCCGACGCCTCTCCCTGTGGGTGTGGCCTGTCCGCACACCTGTCTTTAAAACCCCAACAGGCCGGGACTGTTCTCCTGGCTTCTCTTGCGGTCTCTGAACAGCCCCCATAGGTGAGTTGAGCAGTTCTTCCTCCTCCCCGCCCTCCACTCTGTCAGTGACAGTACAATGTCCCTCCTCTCTGACTGAGGATGTCTGTTGCCGATGCCTCCCTCCCTAGCACTACTGGAACCAGGGTGGACAAGCTCTGCTTAAAGTGTGGTTAGTACAGCTTCTTAAACAAATATTTCGTCCAAACAAGATGCAGATGTTTTACATCCAACATACAGTAGTCTCTGAAGTAGCTTCCATTCAGTCCATTTTGACTCACAGCGCCTCCTAGACAGTGCAGAACTGCTCCTTAGGGTTTCGAGACTGTCAGTCTTTACAGAAGCAGACAGCCTCATCTTTCTCCTGCAGAGCAGCTGGTGTGTTTGAACAGCCGACCTTAAGGTTAGCAGTCCAGTGCGTAATCCACAGCACCAGCAGGGCTCCTTATTGTATGTTGTTGTTGTTAAGTGATATCAAGTTGAGTCTGACTCGTAGCAACCTTGGACAGAGTCTCTGAGGAGCGGCTGTTGAGTATGAAGCACTGTTTACATGGACCTCATGGTCCAGTGCTTATCCTTCAGTGCCACACCAGGACTGCTCCTTATTGTATGGTGGTGGTAGCGGTGGTGGTGTGCCACTGACTCACTTCCAACTCACAGTGACCCTGAAGAGGGTTTCCGAGACCGGAAATCTTTAAAGGAGCAGAAAGTGTCCTCTTTCTCCCACGGAGTGGCTGGTGGATTGGAACTGCTGACATTGAGTTAGCAGCCCGATTCCTAACCCACTACGCTACCAGAGCTCTTCATCCTTATCGTATTTGCTGTTGTTACTGTACAGGATAAAGTAATAGTTAACAAACAACAAATTTGGTTAATTTTATTTATAACATCTAATTCTGGAGGTCAAGATATGCCAGAAAATGTCTTCACACACTCGTCATTAGAATGTGTCCAGTCACCCCGGTTTTTCCAGAGTCCCTGTTTTATATTTTCACATTTGCATTTGTTTTTAAAGGCAAACATCACAGTGGTAACAATACATTTAAGATAATGCTAGGAAACACTTAACTCAGCGTTGCAGCAATGAATGAAGGCAATGGGTACCCTGCCTTAGCTGGAGTCTACGAATGGGTACGTCTCCACATCTACAATACCATGGAAGCGCAAGTACTGCAAGAACCAGAAGGCTTCTAGATCAAAATAATGAGTACACTGTGCTACATAGCATTTGAGGTACTTTTACCATTCCATTTCTTTATAAACAAATAATCCGAAAAGCTGCTTCATTTTGACCATGCCAGACAAGAGACCTTTCTTCTACAGTTTGCTGCATCTGGCATTATAGCCCTGATCCTCCAAAGGCCTTCTAAAAACCTAGGGGCAAACTATAAATAACTGCACAGATGTTATACAACCTTAAAGAGTTAAACAGAATAACTCAGTGAAAGAATAGTCGCACCTGGTCTACAGGTTACGACTCAACAAGTCCACATTGTTGCGAGTGAGCCTTACAGTTTGAATTCTCTAGTTCAGCCTCGTTTCCCCTACAATCTATGTTCTAGAGAGGGAGCAGGACGTCTGGAGACGGATGGCTTGGCCCTGACACCCCAGACTCGCAGCTGCATTTCACATCCCTCAAGCTCTGCACTCGGGGGGAAGTCAGGCCCACGCAAGCAGGCCAGTCTCCCGGTGTGCTCCTGGCCTCCTCCTGCCCACTGCCCACAGGTGCACCTCCTTCAGGGAGTCTTGGCTCTTCCCGCCCAGTGACAGCTTTTCTGTCTTCCTTCCTGGCAGGTGCGTGCGCCCTGTCTGGGATTCCTGAAGACCTCTCACCTCCCCATGCTCCTACAAGACAGGATTGCTACTGCTCCCGCCCTAGGAGTGTCTGGAGAGGCTGCCTCACACAGAGGAGTCCTTCAGTAAACTACTGCTGAACACATGACTGAGTGGCCTGTGCTCTGTTCTCTGGTTATCAGGACATGCTTGATGCTGAGCCTGAGGTACAGAGACTGACGCAAACAGGGTACACCTGCAACCCTCATCGTCCCCAGCCATCTCCCTTAATCTGACTGCTTCACTAAGTCATGGATTGAATTGTGTCCCCCCTACCCCCAGTATGTGTCACCTGGGATGGACCATGACTCTCTGTGGTTTGGCAGTTATGCGATGATCCCCCAGATGTGTGATCTGAGGGGATAAACCAATCAGACGATTAAGGGTAGGACCCTGAATCCCACCATGGCCCTGATCCCATATATGGGAGACCCCAAGGGTGTGGCCTGCAACACCTTTTCTCTTACAAGAGATAAAAGGAGAGAGACATGAGCAGAGAAAGAGGGACCCACAACCACGGAGAAAGAAGACCCAGGAGTGCAGAGCATGCTTTGGGCCTGGGGTCCCTGCCCTGGGAAGCATCAAGATCCAAAGAACAACTGATGTCAACACACATGGAGATCTCCAAGGAAAGCTGGACCTATGGATGCTGAGAGGAGACAAGCCAACACTGTGAATTCGGACTTCCAGCCTCCTGTACTGTGGGAGGAGAATACATTTCCGTTTGTTCGAACCATCCACGTGTGGTATTTCTATAGCAGCAGTCTGAGAGAGCCAAGACGGAGACCTGGTGTGGTGCTACAGGGGCCTGCTAACTGTGAGACTGGGAGCTGAGACGCAGCAGGTGCTCCTTAGAAGCCCTATACAGCGCAGCTACCAACCCGTCTGACGACACACCGTGACAGATAATTAAGTCAGCTTATCACTCCAGAGGCTATGAAGGTTCACAAGCATGAACCCCTTTGCCCGGGCCCTTCAGGAAGGAGCAGCACATCCACACATTGCCTGTGATGCTGGCACTGTGGTCATAGAGGGACTTGGGAGGACTCGAACCCTAGACAGAATAAAGACCTCACCTACAGCTATGCAGTACAAGACAATGCCATTAGATGGCCAGCAAAGGGAACTGAACATTGGCTTACGAAAACACACTCTATTATTTATTAGTGCCACTAACTTGCATTGTAACCTTAGACTGTTTTCCCCTACCAACATTTTTAATCCTTCAGATTAAGATGAGGGCTGAACCAAAGAACAAGACAGGCAGTGTATGTGCAGAGAAGAATCTTCCGAAGATCAGTGATAAAATGTACTTACCAATTACCTGCAGAACTTCTGTGTTGCTGATTTGTGAGTCACTGATGCTGAAGGTTTCCTCTTGCCTTACCTCTCCCAGCAAAAAGCCTTCCTGAAAGTAACAGAAACAAAATAGTTACAGGCTGAAAATAAGTATGATTTGCACTGAAATCAAGAGTAAGTGAGGACATGGTAACTTTAAAACAATTTTAACAATAACCCCAGTACACTTGCCATATAGTCTACTATACTACAAACCAACAATTAGACACCAAAGCAACCTGAGGTCTATGTATGAACTGGATTGCTTGAAAAAGGATTCCTTCCATAAGAAGATGGAAGGCCATTTTCAACCACTCACACCTTCCCTATTTTCTGAAGTAAAAAACTGTGAGGCAAATCCATGTCTAACAACCCAGGTCTGAGAAGGTCAGGAAGCAGAAATGCTCCCAGGTTGTTTTCTTATTTCATTGTTTTAAACACACAGCTAATGATAACAGGATAAAGAAGTTAACACAAAGTACAGCTAACTGCCCACATCTCTCAGGACTGCTGTGAAAATGAGCGTTTCAGTACATGAATCAAACTTGTATCACACACATGAAGGTGTTTCTTTAATAAATGCAGAGGTTAATGTATTTGCACCTTTGGAGAACCCAGCCCATTATCATCAGCTGTGGATTACTCAGTCTAACACTGACTGTTTACGTACTTATGGTTGAGTTCAGCCCCACCACTGAAGGAGTAGAGAGAACCTCGTTCTCCATTGAAGTTGGCAAGCTGAGCTGACAGACACGTTGTCCTGGAATGCTCTCTCCCCAGACACCCACACCACTTCTCTTTCCCTTCGCTCAGGTCTTTGCTCAATCGGCCCCTGACCACAGAGGTCTTTCCTGGCCCAAACCAGAGGGCGCAGCAACTGGCAGGCTTCCTTTTTCTTAGTCTCATCACTACCAGCACGTGCCGTATTTGTCTTAATAAATGCTCCTTCCCGACTAAAACGTAAGCTCCTTGAGAGCAAAGCCTTTGGGCTTGTTCATGGCTATAGCTGTAGCACTGGGCACAATGCCTGGCACATGGTAACCCAAATCCCACTGCCATGCATGCAGTCAGTTCAGACTCACTGCCCAGAGCGTTTCCAAGGCTATCCATCTTCCCAGTAGTTGATTACCACATCTTTCTCATGCAGCGTGACTGGAAGGTTTGAACCACCAACCTTTTGGTTAGCAACTGAATACTTAACCACTGTGCCTCCTAGACGTTTTCACACATTACTGTTGTTGCTGTGGGCCGTGAAGTCAGTTCCAACTCACAGCTACCCTGTATAGGGTTTCCAAGGAGCAGCTGGTGAATTTGAACCGCCGACTTTATGGTTCAAACTGACCCTGTGGTCCAGTGCTTTATCCCACAGCGCCACACTAAGACTCCTTTCACACACAGAAGTGCTAAGACACCCGCCCCCCCGCCCTGCAAAAAAACCCCCAAACCACTGGTTGAATAAATTCATTGAGATAATGCCCTTGTACAATAATACTGTGGGTTAGGTATGGGCTGCTAGTGCCTAGATGAGCAGTTCAAACCCACTAATCGCTCAGTGGGAAAAAGATGAGGCTGTCCCTTTAGCTCCCATAAAGACTGACGGTCTAAGGAACCGTGCAGAGGCTATACCACAGGCCTGGCTGCATGGTAGTGGATTTGGTTCCTTGGTTTACTATATCCCCTTCTCTTCTAGGTTGATCTTTGAAACCAAATAAAGAAACTGCCTAATTAAAAGCATTTCCATTTGACAGTAAAGAATCTGTGAGGGTTATGTGGGGAGGGACAGGTGTGTCCCCCACAGCTGTGACAGGTACGGTTTTATGTTGACTGAGCCAGGAGGCTCAGTGGTTTGGCAGTTAAGACAGCAATCACCATTATGATGACATCTAATATGATGTAATCATCCCCCAAGTGTAAGCAGCTCTCGTCTAATGTCATTCCTCTCTTCTAAGGAGCTCTGGTAGCGTAGTGGTTACGAATCAGGCTGCGAGCCACAAGGTCAGCAGTTCGAAACTACCAGCGGTTCCGCGGGAGAAAGATAAGGCAGTCTGCTCCCGCAAAGATTTACAGCGTCGGAAACCCTGTGTAGGGTCGCTATAAGTTGGAACCGACTCCACAGCACACAACAACCACATAAACAACATCATGTCAATAAGGCTGAATGCAATCTACAGGCTTCGACTCTTATGTTGAGTCAGCCAAGCAAACAGGGTCCTACTATCACCAAGCAAGAAGAGCCAGGAGTGGGTGCTCATCCTTAGGACCTAGGGTCCCTGCACTGTGAAGCTGCTACAATCAAGATGCATGAAGATCTCCAAGGAATGGAGGACCTGCTGATGCTGAAAGGAGACAAGGCCCTTCCTCCCTGCCGCTGGCACTGACTGTGGACTTGTCGCCTCCGGGACCGTGACAAAATACAGTTCTGCTTATTAAAGGCATCCACCACTGGGTGTCCTGGTGTGGTGCTGTGGGTTAATGCGCTGGACTGTGAAGTCGTTTGAACCGCAAGGTCAGTGGTTCAAGCTCACCAGTTGCTCCTCGGAAACCCTATACAGGGTCACTATGGGTCAGAACCAACTCACCGGCACACCACCACCACTGGGGGCATTTCTGCTACAGCAGCTTTCGTAGTGGATTGAGGGGTGGTGGGGGTAGAGGTGGGGAAGTGCCCTTTAGTCGGTTCCAACTCACAGCGACATTGTATAGGATTTCCAAGGAGCAGCTGGTTTGAACTGTCGACACAGTGGTTAGCAGTCCAGTGCTTATCCTACAGAGCCACACTAGGATTCCTTGTGGAGTACCCAAAAATCCCAAATCAGCACATGCAGAGCTTTTCTTAAACTTGAGTAAAATACCGATTCCACTTTCAAAGGGAAAACAACAACAAAACCTCTTACACAGAGGAGGGCCTGTTGCAGGCTAGTCTGAGAAACACGGACTAAAGAAAACTGTTTTTCATGAAAGTTTCTTAATGCTCACCATCAAGAAGAAGCTTTCTAACCGTTTCCAACAAAACTCAAAGTGAGATGACAATTGAGATTTCCCTCAGCACCTTAAGAACATTGCTAGAGATTTCTGGGGTTGTCAGAATTAGAAACAAGAATTTACGGCACCCAGTTAAATGTGCTTTTTGGATGAACAGCCGATACTTTTAATGCAATACTTGGGGTATGTAAGTATTAGTTGTTTAACTGGCACTCCAATTTAACTGGGAACCTTACTACAACCATCAGTTTGAGAAAGTGATGTCAGCCCACAGTGAAATCAAGACTCTTCAAGGCCAAGTGTCAAATGAATGTGGAATTACCTACTGGTGGAGATTATCTGAGTCACTTTAAGGCAGGGGTAGGCCAACTCCAGGGTGGGGGCCAAACCCAGGCCAGCCCCTATTATTATATGGCCCAGGAGCCAAGAAGGTTTTTCCATTTTCTCTTTTAATGATTGAAAAATGAATTTTGAATCCGATTTCATGAAATGTGAAAATTATATAGAATTCAAATTTCAATGTCCATGAGTACAGTTTTATTGGAATACAGTCTCCCACATTCGTTTATTACCTTTGGTTGCTTTCTCCCTATAACAGCAGAGTTGAGTAGCTGGGGCAGAGGGCATAAAGCCCACAACGCCTAAAATCTTCAACTATTTGGTCCTTTACAGGAAGTTGGCTAACTCCACCTCTGTAGAATGAGTGGATTTAAGCAATTCTTGCTTGACAAAACGAATATGTATTTTTAAAATTAAATTCCTAGTTCTTCGAGTATAAAAATCTAACTATTTCCCAGTATTCCACATCTATAATGGTGGTAAGAATAATACAGACACGCAGGATCATCTAAAACACAGTTTGCAAACTACTGGCATTGGTGAGAATGTCCATGCAATCTAGCATTATGCCTGGGACCCAACAAGAAATGAAAGAAATCTCTCCCGAGTTACATTAGCAACAACCTAAGTACCACAGCCATCTCACTGCAGCTCGGGGGGTGTGGGGGTGGGGAGGGAAGATCCATTTTTCAATAGGTAATTGCTTATTCTTACAATAATCTTGCCTTCTACATAAACTACAGGCATTCCAAAAACCAGGGTGAGTAAGGAGCATTACTGAAACCATAATTAATACTTCCACAGACAGTAGGAGCATTGCAAACCACCTATATAGGAAACTGCATTACATCACTAACTAGCTGGTTGCAGTATCTTCAACTGTAGCGTTGAGAGATGCCTCTGGAAAAACCCATGTTGTACATCTCTACCATCAACATTCAAGAGATAAAAGGCACAGTAATTTAATTCCAATCTACTAATGGAATCACCTCTGTGAAATCGGGTGTTAATGGATGTCAAGATCTTTGACAACCAAAATACAGTTCTTTCTGTTGCAATGTATCATCTTGCTTTGTAATGATAACCACTCTCTCTCACACACATTTATTTAAAGGAACCATTCACTGTTTTCATCATTTAACAATTTGGCGACCAAATTAAAAATCCCATTTAAGAGAATACATATCTATTTTCACCAAGAATTTCCACCCAGAGGCTAGTGACATTAAAAGACGATGCGTAAGATAGAGGCATTGATGCAGGCTCTGCTCCCCCTGTGGACTCCAAAGCCTATGCATTTCCGGATCCCTCAGACGTGGGCCTGTCACTTCCCTATTTCACTGCGACCAGTCCCGTGGTCTCAGAACTTCGCCAAGGAATTAAACATGCAACTACCACGGAAAGACAAGTAGACCCTGCATCTAAGCGACCCTGTTTACAGTCTCCATTACCCTTCCCACCCGGCGAAGAAATCACACGACCATGTCCAGCAAGTAAACAGTGACAACCATGATTTTCCTCGTCACACCCCACGACAACATGGGAGACTGGCGGGCGGGCGGGCCCGGCCTCTCCTCTCCTTGCCAGCCCGGGCGCCGCTCACAAGTCAAGACTCCTGACGTCCGTGAGGGGCAGGCGCTGGGTTTACCCAAGCGACTCCAGATACTACGGGTCGCCCGGGAGGGACAACTTTGCTGGACGGGAGAAGCTGCCCTGGGACCGCAGGGCGGCGAAGTGCGCCGAGCTGGGGGCCCATCCGAGGGCTAGGGAACCCCGGGCGGCAGGAGATCACTGGGGCCGGAGACAGCTCAAGCACCGCTCCTCCGACCGGCCCGGAGCCGGGGGCAAGCCGCGAGCGGGTCCAGCTTGGTCGAGGGCGCCGGCCGGATGCGGAGGCTTTAGGCCCCATAGGCTGTGGCAGGGGTCCCAGCACCTACGTGGTCCGCATTGCTGTTAGCGCTGTGGAAACACACAGCGCTGAAGGTGTAGCCCGAAATGGAAGCCGCCATGATGGAAATCTCCAACTTTCCCGTCATGCCCCGCGGAGGGCTGCCTGTCTTCCGGCAGGTCCTGCCCTTAGCATCTTGGGAAATGGAGTCCGCGGGGATAGCACGTTTCCGAGGGCCAGGTCTCAGGGCGGAGAAATGCAGGTCTTGGAGTGGAGCGGCAGTGGGTTCGGGATGCTACCCCTGGCTCTCGCGTCCGGCGCACTTCAGACACCCGGTCTCTGCCTGGCTTTGATAGCTCCCCCATACAGGTTTTTCTCTTTGCAATTCCAAGTCTTAGTCTTAAAATACAACATTTTCTGAGTTCCACATTGGCAGGGGGACTACCATTGAGGGTTCCAACATAGGAGCTGCATGATGTGATTCAAATTTTAACCTGTACAGTCAGAATTCTCCATAGAACCGAGGATGAGGACACTTGACCTCTACTTTCGAAATGTTATCAGGAGGAGGCCAGTGTTATGCTTGGTAAAGTCCGAGACCCTCAAAGAGATGAATTGAGACAGTGACTGCAACAATGTGGAGGACAGTGCAGGACGAAACGGTGTTTAGTTCCATCTGTTGCTATAGGTTGGAACTGACTCCATGGCATCTAATCTCAACTCTGGCTGCAATGTTAAGAAGCAAAATCGAGGTGGGGAAGTGGGGGAAGAGGTTATTACAATAATACCAAGGAGAGATGATGGTGGCTGGGAGATGGTTTAAAGCGGAATGTTGCAGAGGAGGTATAAGAAGTGTTTGGTTCTGGGTACGAACGAAAATAAGCTTAATGAGAAATCATGGGGAAAAGTAAAACTACATAAATAAGAAAAAACAGTGAAAACGATAACAAGAAAAGAAATCCAAGAAACTGGTTAAACAATCAAGCAAATAAACCAAACTCACTGCCCTCATGTCTGGTCTGATTCATAGCTACTCTGTAGAAGGGTTTCTGAGGCTGTGCAGAAAGCCCCGTCTTACTTCTGAGGAGTGCTGGTGGGTTTCAGCTGTCACCCTTGTAGTCATTCTGCAATTTACTCCTTTGTGTTCAAAGCTGAAACTGCTGACCTGCCACAAAGCCCCTTAGGTAACTTCATGTGGAACTAAGCGACTTGTCAAGCTCACGTCCGCTGACTGTCGCCTGTGACTATGGTTGTTGTTCAGTGTCACCCTGTTGGTTCCACTCCTAGCAACCAAGTATAGTGTTTCCAAGGAGCAACTAGTGGGTTTGAACTGCCGACCTTGCAGTTAGCAGTCCAGTGCTTATTCTATAGCGCCACACCAGGACCATGACTAGGCAGGAAAATACAAAGGAGAGATTGCTGTCAGCACTGGAGCAGAGGAAACCTGTGAGTCTCAGTCCTCTCTGGAGAAGACTTGAAGTCACGCGCAGCTAGGGCCTGTGAAGGGGCCCCTGGGAGATTTGCTCAGAAGTTGTTGCCATGGTCTCCATTAGCCGTGAGCTGTGAGCATGCTCAGCCCCAGTCAGGTAAAGCAAAGGTGGTGATAGGTCCCTGGGGCCCTGAGACCTAGAGAAGCTGGAGGTGTGTGGGAGGACGAGGGAATGATGATGCTCTCTCCGGTTTAGGTGCCGGTCTGGACGATCAGGGACCATGGAGACAGGAAGCCACTGAATTGAGAACACGGGATAGAGAGGTTTGAAGGCATGGGGGCAGGAGGAAGGCAATGCAGTGACTTCTGCTTTGAACAGGTTGAGTTTTACTATAACAAAGGACATGCAGGCAGATGAAATAAAATTCTGTGGGAATCTGAGGGAAGAGGCTGGAATTGGAATTGTACTCTTAGATAAGTACAGGACTGCTAACTGCAAGGTCAGCAGTTCAAACCCACCAGCTGCTCCCGGGGCTGCTCCTAGGAAACCTTTTACAAGGTCACTATGAGTCAGAACCGACTCGGGGGCACTTAACAAAAAGGAGAAGAATGGCTTGGTAAAGTAAAGGGTCAGCCCCAAACTGGAAGACCTTCAAGGAAATAGACAGAGTGGATACAACAATGGGCTGAAATGTAACAATTGTGAGGATGGCACTGTTCTATTGGATAGAAGGTCATTATGAGTTGGAACTGACTCAATGTCACCTAACAACAATCCTTTGAAGTAGAACCACTTGAAACTCCATGTCATAGTAAGAGAAACTGAGCTAACATATTCTGAGGAGTTACCATGTGCTAGGCATTTAGGACTTTACAGGGGGTATTTCATTGAATGGCAGACCTGGTGGAGGTGTTAAATAAAACCCAGACCACGGAGCGGTAGGGTGAGAGGTGTCTGGAGACCAGGCCAATGGGGGGGACACTGCCTAGCGGGAAGAGACTGCAGTGGCCAGCCAGGCTGTCCTACTTATCCCGGACACGAGGGCACCGTCCCAGCCTAGGCATTGGATCCTGGCTTTGAGGCGGGCTCAACCAACTTAGAGACCCACAAGCGCAGCCCAAATGGCCAGGGCCATAATTAATTAAGGAATTAAAATAAATAAATTGAGACATATTAATTGAGGAATTAATATAAATAAATGAGACATGGGGAAACCTGTGCATGAAGAATTCGTTGTCTTTGCAAAGCAACAATGAAATATTTTTTCTCTTTCTCTTTCTTTCTTTCTTTCTTTCTT